TTCCCCCACTACCAAAAAAAACGCACACCCCCCACCCCCCAAACCCAACACAACCTCTTATCAACATTTTTTTCTCTCTAAAAATTTCTATCAACACACAGTGTTCTTTGTGTAACCAACGTTCATTGGTGCTGTAGGACCAAATACAGTCCCACAGTGCCAGAAAGCATCTGGGATTAAGGAGTAATAGGTAAAATTCTGATTTCATACTGTTCACACAGTTCTGTCCATATCTGAGAGAGGATGAGAACCTGAGAGACCTTGGTCAGCACTCCCAGAGCTGGACACGGGGAGATCAAAAGTTGCCAGTACGAATTCCTCAGTAATGACATTCTCCGATTTCTTAAGCTCCACTATTCATACAGGGGCTGGTGCAATTTTTTTTTTAGCAGGGAGGCTATAAACACACCCCCCCCCGCCCCCTGCAGATTCTGCAGTTGAGTTCCCTCTGTTTGGAGAAACGGCAGGAGCCAGCACACCCACAGCAAAAGGTGTCAGCCTGGCACAACAAATGCCATTTCCCTGGTGAAAACCCTTTACATGCTCAGGGTGCTTTCCTAACAGGTGAGTGCAGTTCTTGTTGCCAGTGCCTTCTGGTGGTGTGCTGTGAAGGATGGATCCAAGCTTTTCCAGAGACACAGCTTTGTGCACGCTGCTCTGGTGCCTGAGTTACAGAAGGTTGGCAGGGCTTGTTCTGGGACACGCTGAGGGGAAGGGTTGGTGCTCTGGCTCACCGGTTCTGATACTATGTGATGTTCTGCATCAGTGATGGTGTCAGTTCTGACAGGGGATCCTGCAGCATTTCCAGGCTGCTAATGCAGAGAGCAGCTCTAGCGACTCAGGCTTAACTTGGGACGTTATCAGTTACTTCTGAAGACAATACTTGTAGTAGTAGTACTGGAACTGAAGGGTGCCACTTACTGGAACATGGAGAGGAACTGTAGGATGAGTAATGAATTGATGGATATTTCTCCAGTTAAGAAAGGCAGATGAGAAGGTTAGTAGCTTTTAATGCCCAGTGATGTGTCTGTACAAATGCAAGGCTTTCCTATAGGTGCTGGCTCTTAACACTCCTGTTGTACCCACACTGTAATTTTAGAAATTCAAACGGGATGTCTGTGGCCTAGTTTACCCCAGAGCTATTGCCACAGTTAGCAGCAGAGAGGATGTGCTCATTTCTTTTCTTCCTGGCTTGCTGCCAGTGGTCAGCTAGGTTCTGCCTACTGTTTTTCAGACTGGATCATTTTTTTGTCCCAAAACTTGACATTTTGACTACAGAATGACTTTAGTTCCTATTCTTCATCTGAAGCAAAGTTAGAAGTTAGCATCTACTAATCAATTTGTAATTCAAACAGGTTAGGGAAATACTTTCCAGTACTGCACCATTCCTTAATTCTGGACTTGGGTTTCTCAGCCTGCTGTGTGTACTGACCACACGTATGGTTTGAAACCTGACGGGTGCGGTGGAGCACGTATCAGTTTACAGAGGTAACGAGTTTATGCTGCTGTATAAGGAAAAGCTTAGTCAGCTTTGCATCATCACTGTTGTGTCTTTGAAATGTCATAATCCAAACACTGTTGTCCATTTAAAAATAAAAAAATGAAAGGGATCTTACCTGTTGTGCTCCTAAATGCCCTTTCTAAACTTTAAATAGCTGTATACAGTGATCAAGTTCAGTAAAGATGTAGCAAATAGTCATCATTAATTTTATATCAGATGTCTCCTGCCTAGCAGTATCATGAATAGTTTACAAGAGCAAACATTTCACAAGAGAAGATGCATTTGCAGTAGAGTTCCCTTTATTTCATTACATTAAAGCACACAACCATTAAATACACTTGACACTTCTATTGTGCTATCTAAAAAGCTACACTCCAATGTACACATGGCACAAATCTGGTGGCATCCACTTCGAACAAGTGGAACATCTAAATCAAAGCAAAGGCTTTCACATAAAAAATAGATCTTACTCTCTGCAACGGTATTCTTAAAAAAAATGTCAGTGATGATGAGATGGAATGGAAAGAAAGTAGATTACTGAAGCAACAATCACCTCCCAGATTTAATGCAGGATGTTATTTTTATCAGCTCATCTGCAGATGGCACAAATGAAGGCTGATTAAGGCAAATGCTTCTTAAGAAAGGCGATTTCTTGTAAACAACAAGGAAATTGTTTTTCATCATCAGAACCTCTTTCTTAGGAGTGACACTTGCTATGTTCCAGGCCCCTGTGGGACCCCTGCCCCTCTTGCTGCTGCTCTCTATTTCTGAAGGGATTACATGATGCTTTGTGGAATGCCAGCTTGCAGCTGGCTATGAGAATAGCTGAGCTTTCTCCACAGGCAGCTGCAGCAGCAAAATGTGCCACCACAAGACTTTTCCAATGGCCTCTCTGGCCTTCATAATGTGCTTGGCCTCTGGGCTTTGGTATCTGACTGGCAGTGTAGTGTTTGCAATGTTCTGTGGATCACCGATATCAAACTATTCACCAGCACAACAATTCAGTAAAAAAAAGTGAAGGTGTACTAGAAAAAAAGTACCTTATTTTAAAGCCGTATTAAGAAAAACTAAGCTATGCCTTCATTTTAGGAGCTGCTGTGCACAAATGCTTTGATCCCAAACTAATCAGTGTCTATTAATTAATTGGCACCTAATTAATAGCAACATAAGTCACTAAGCAGTCAAGTTTTTTTTAAGGGGTATTTCCTCTTGGTAGTAGAGCATCTTCTCATGTCCTGACTTGGAATTTTCCTGCTTTTGTAATATATTTGACACCTTTAAAAGGCTTGTATTTTTCTCCATACATGTCTAGGCGATTCACTTTCAGTCCTGAAAAAGACAAGTACAAAGTTAAAAGCAGAAGGCTGGAAATCATGTCAGTCTGTTTAAAAGTCCTGCTTTCTTGAAGCATGTTAAGATAGGTTAGGAAGCGGATTTTCCTTCCTTTCCACAAGTTCATCCGGTCTGAACCAGCAGAAGAGACCATTCTTGTCACCTACTCATAGGTGCCGTGGGAGGGCAACAACTTTTTTCTGTTCTACTTGGTGAGCCAACATCCTCCTTCCTAGGGACGCACCATTGAACAAATTAGTCTATCTTCCACAGCTCCTGTATGCTGCACTCGTTTCCAATGATGCAGATGAAGCAAAGGACAAGTTTTAGAATTCTTTTCACTCCTAAGTCATAATTGCAAGGACCACCAATCGCCCTGCTATTAACTGAGGAATGTCAGTAGCTTTTAATTATCTAACAGTTTCAGGTTGTCCCCTGCTTTCTCACATGTCCACTACCTTTAGCATCCAGCCATTGGATCCAATATATTTTGCTAGATTTATACTAGTGGATTGCAAGTTTAAAAGGAAACTGCAGAAATCTGTTCTTATACAAGGACTAGCCATTATTTACTCAGCAAAGTAGTCTAGGAAGTAAGAGGACCACAGCCTGGTACCTGCCTAGAAAGGTACCACATGTACTACCACCAGTTCTCATCCACTGCCTTCAGCCATCCTCCTTTCCAAATGCCAGTCTTCACTCTGTTAGGGTCTAAATCCTGCAAAGCTTGCTTGCAGAAGCATTTTACACATGGATAACCTGCATGATTTAAGTGTTTGTAGACTGAGGCCTTGTTTGCTTTAAATTTACTTTTGCGCTTACCCTATAGACTTCATTCTGATTTTACTTGCAGATTTGTGGGAAGATGAAAAACTAACCAGCTCCAGAAGGAAAGAAGGGCATTCTTTAAAATTAATGGAGTTTTTTGACCACTAGAGAGGGCTTTAGTGATACAAGGCTAAAGCAAGTCAAGAGCAGCATTCTAAATCATCATTCATCACTCTTTGCTACAAGGATAAATTTGCATGTTTAATGCACAACTCAACAAAGGAAAATCCATTCTCCTGTACACTTCTCACAGTCTTTCTTGAGCAAAACAACTGGGAATTCACAATTCCCAGCAAAGGTAACTGTCAGGTTTGGGTAAACCAGACTTTACCTTTTCAGACCAAGCTGACTTCACATCATCATCTCAAATTAAAAGATGAACAGTTTCCCACTTCATTTCCTACTGCTACTCATTCTGTCAGTACCAATTTCATTTAGCACCCACCCACTCACCTGAAATTGCAAGCTGTTGAATCTTAAACTGGATGTTTAAACTTGGATTCTCCTCTGGCTTGGGGGCTCCAGACTGCAGGTTCACTATGCCCTTCAGGTTTGGTAGCTTTTGAGGAGTAATTTTGCCAACGTCCCATGTTAACACCTTGTCAGAAAAGAGAGAATAGTAGCAGTAGCATTCTAGGAAACAACCTGAGAGGTCAAATTCATGTCAAGCTTTTAGTTTGCAGGCTGGGTACAGAAAGCAGCCTGGTAGCCATAAGAATTATCCCACTGGCTGGGAGACGGCACGGTCAGGGTTCCAGCAGGTATGGTGTCTTTTCCTTCCCAGCATTTCTTTTGCCCTGTCAGTGTCCCTTAGTTGGTCTGTTCCCTTATAATAACAGTGATTGCTCCTGTTGTCAGATTGGGTCAGCTAGATCCATGAAGCAAGGAGAATAACCAGCACAAAGGTCATAGGAACTTAAATACGGAATGAAGAGGACAAGAGCAAGGCACTTGGCAAAAGGAGATGTTTAAGCTACAGGAACTTTCCTAAGGGTCACTTGTTTCCCATCAATTCTTACACTTTAAAGAAGATACATGGAACCAAGTTGGCCCTTTACTCACCCACAAGAGTGGGGTTTTTTTTGTTCTTATCATAAACTGAACATTGTTGATAAATGCAGAAAAACCTCAGTTCTCCCTACTTCTACAAACTTTTGCAGTTAAAATCCACCCAGTTATCTCAAGTCTAGATAAAAACACAGTATAATTTAGTTCTGCAGAGAGGAAAGGAGACTTCACGTGGTTTTATTGATGTTTTGTTTTTAAAAGATCAAGGTCTGTTCTTTTTGAACCAAAATGTTACTTGGAGAGCTTTCACTTACAATTCCAGTCAAATGCTGACTGAGATATTCCAAGGGCAGCAGAAAGCTCAGAGCAGGGAGTTAAAGCCAGCAGAATGGTTTGGCTCAGACTGCATTTCAGTGAAATGGTGCCTGGGTACTAAAAAACTTCAGGAGCTTTACAAAATTGAGGTCTCAAACCCCAGCTGAGAGGCAAGAAAGCACGACTCCCAAGATAAAGAATTTTGCAGACCCTTTGTTCTCCTTCCTGTGTGTGTTCAGGCAGACCTTCTGGAAGAGTTTTTTTTCTCATCTCCTGCTCTCTGTTTTTCTGGCTACCTGTTTTCATGTCTACTGCCTTTTCTCCAGGTAAGTATGTTTTAAAGAATACAGACTGCAAAACATACTATAGCTGAAACCACCAGCAAAATACTGCTGCATCCACTAAAGAAAAATATTAGGGGGGGTGAAGGAGCAGAGGAAAAGAGAGGAAGGAAAGGGAGAGGGGAAGGGAAAGGAGACTGATAAAACTAGAAATCACAACTGGTGTTGTACCTAAGTTTGAAAAAAGTAAATTTTAAAGAGAAGATTTTAATTCATAAACATATGCTGAAGGGAAAGTTTTAATGTAAGTGTAGTACACTGCTCCAGTGCTCTGCAATATGTATGACTTGTTCTAATTTCTACTGTCATATTAGGTATCTAAATAAATAAAAACTTAAGACTTACTTTAGTAACTGGGTCAAATGTATAGGTGCCTTGTGTAGCAGTGAGGTTCATATTAAGTACGGCCTTTGGCATGTGAACTGTCATGACAACTCCTTCTACTGTTTTCCCCATATTCTGTTTTGGTCCAATGGTAACATCAAATCTTCCTGAAGAACTATTTTCCTTAAAACTGATAATGTGTTTCACATATACAGGAATAGCCACCAAGCTGAAAATAGAAGATAATAGCTGAATGCATCCCTGGCTACTTCTTCACTTAGAAAACAAAGCTCTTTCTCATAAATAGTTCTTGTGTTTCTGGCAGGTACTCAAGTTGGAACCAATTTGTTTCAAAACTGAAAAGTGTCAGCTCTTCAACATCATTGCTGAAGTGATTTTATTAGCAGAGAATCACAGGAAAAAAAGATTTTCTTCCAAATCACTGGTCCTAATCTCTTTCCCACCATCTGTTTAGTTTTTTTAAAGTAATCTCACTAAGCCAAGTCTCAGGACAGTCACCAGTCAAATCAGACTTAGTTTGCAAATACCTGCAGTTTAGACTTTTTTGCTTTATTCTTTTTATGAAGATCAGAGTCCTCTGTGCACAGAGAAACTTAGCCACAAAGCATATAGCAGCAACAATGACTACCAGGAATGAATAGCCTTATATTACTGTCATGTGTGGTTTATTCCACTGAAAAATGATTGCTGAGTATCAGCAGCTCACTGAAAAACCGTTTTCTTGTTTTAGTGGGGACAGAACAACAGATGAGACAAAACTGAGAACATGGATTTTAGCAACAATGCAAATTCCCCCATCACAAGGAGAAGGCTGCAGTTACTGAGATGGAAAGTGGTAGATGGTGTATCTGAAGAACCAGCGCATCTAAATGGAAACGTACTTCTGTGAACTGACGCGGTAGGAGATCAACCTGAAATTCCCGTCGGGAGGAATAAACGAAAGGACTCGCTCAGACTCCCAGCGTTTGAACCGAATACAGGGATGGAAGCTGACGTCATCCAGCAACCGTGGGTTCTGTAAGTGGTGGCAAAGTGGTAAGTGAAATCCCATCAAGTACCAGCAGTTTGAACTAGCTACTGAACTCTATACAATTCCTGTTTCTTCAACTCTAAGTATCATTCCTAGCCATTATCTGAGACATGCTACTGAGCTAGATGGATTTCTGGTCTGACCTGGCACAGCAGTTCCTGTGAGTGTATTTTCATGTACAGACAAAAGCCATTCCAACTACTGAACAATGCAGCAACTTCTACTATATAATGCAAAACTTTCTATGTTATTTTTTGTATACGTAACACGTGAAGTAGTGATTGCACTCTTAAAATCACTTAACTCCGATTGTTAAGGAAAATAAATCCTGAGCAATTAAAATTCCAAAATATATGCTAAATTTACCATGAAAGAAAGAGAAAGATCTTTTTTTCCAGTTATATGTTCCTCAACGGGAAATCTATTTTTTTTCTTGAAAAAGAATAACAAAAACAAAGTTTGTAGAACCTGCAGGGGAAAAAAAAAAAAAAAGACACTTGACCTAACATATTATCAAGGGCCTAACAAATGTCGTGAAGTGCAGCTGGAGGGCAGAGATGACATTTGCACGACACTCAAGAACATGCCAAGCACAGATAAGAAAGGTCATTCCAGTTACCTGTGGCCTGGGCAGCTTGCTAAAATACATGAGCCAGAGCAAACAGGTTGTCCCAAATCAGCTAATTATACTTGTGCCAGCTGTTGCACAGGACTTGTACTGGATGTGCTAGAACTGGTTGCCAGCAGTGAGCAAGTAAGAATTTCAGAATATGCAAGCTCTGAATCTTCCTTTCTTTCATCCCTGTCCTGTCTCCAGAAAACTAGCAAGTTGTGTAGTAGTGCGGGGAAGTTGAAGCACATCAAAAGAGTTGACATCAAAACACAGTAAGCTTGTGCTCTAAAGCTCCAGATAACCTTGGTTTTCACAAGCCCAGCTTGTTTAACAGTGGGATTACATATTAATCTTGATGCTAAATAAATCTATAGCAAAAAAACCCCACCAACCAACCCCAAAGCAGGAATACCAAGCACCTTACCCAGGAAAGGCTCACTTCCTTAAATGCCCTATAAGAACAGAAAGGCATGAGCAGGACTCTGGACTAATTAGCCCTATAAGCAAAGGTTATTTTACAAGATACGTAGAAACTGTTGCTGATCTCACCAAGGGGAAGGAGAAACTGTGGGTTTATACTTTGCCTGAAAAGAAGGGATCTGTTTCAGAGGAAAGCAGTTAACAATCCCCCTATGAAACAAGAGAACATCCCTATTGTAGGGGAGCAACCTTATCTACTTCTCAGTCCTACTGAAGGTCAGGAAGAAGGACTCTTGCATTGCTAGTCTCCAAGGGATCAGACCAGAAAAGAGTAGCTATGACTGCTGTAGTGGATCCTCGGTAGAACATTTAAACATTCAGTGGACACTGATTGGGCTTGAAATACATACAGAAATACAAACATGGTCCTGATTATAACTCCTCTGGCTAAGCACTCATACTACTCTGGGGGATCCTATTGAGCTAGGAGATAACACAGCGGGTGTTCTGACTGTTGTTGCCACCTTCTTTTAGTTTCAAAATGGCTAAAGGAAGAGTTATTTATCACTATTCAGTTCAACAGCAGCCAAAGTGTTTGTCAAATTGCTGTTTGGAATCAAAACAACATTGACTACTGCAACAACAGCAGCACTGAATGAAGAAATCTGAGATTTGCTCCCTGCCCGGTATCACCACAAAATGGTGTCATGCAGTCTTCAGCTTTAGTGACTGATTGCCCCAATAATGAAAAAAACCAGCAGACTCCAGTCCATAGCAGAGCAGTTTTCTTTTCCACTTCTTGGCACTGGCAACATTTACACAAAAGTTATCAGATTCCTCCTCAGAGTTAAATCTCAGATTAAAAACATTCGCATTTGAATGTATGTTTCATTTACAGAAAAGAAAGTAGCATTATTATGCTTCATAATATCTGGCTACAGTTAATATATAAGGAAAACAATACTGTCCAGCTATTTTGCACCAAGTTTTGCCTTGGTATCAGAAGAAACATAATGAGAGCTTTTGTCTTGCTCATTTGAGGGCCCATGAGGACTACAGTAAATGGGGCAAGAACAATGGAAGACCATTTTCTCATCACATTTAAAACTTCAACTGTTTTTTTTTCCATTTATATTTCTTAAGAGATAATCAATACACAAAGAGAAGACATCTAAATACAGAGTATTTCTTGTGGATGTTCTTGAAGCACCCTAGAGCATATTATTATTTTAAGATGAACTGGGCACATAATTTTAAATTGTATATTTCTATTTAAGATATAGACTCATGTATATAAAACACATGTAAAAAGGTGGTTGGACTGTATTCTTCCTAAACATCAGTTAAATGTAACATTCAACAAACAAAAACGAGTTTGCAAGGCACCTTACCTGATTTGTCTATAATTGCATCAATTTCTTCAATTACATCAAAATAGGCTTCGTTGTTTGTGTATTTTACCCCTGCTCTGCGCCAAGGAATGTTGGACAACTGTCCGGTGGGAAGTGTGTCACCCACATTACTACTGCCTTAAAAATGAAAATGAATTCAAAATCAGTAATTAATTACAAGCAGAATGTTTCAACTGCCAAAATTAAGAATCAAAGCAAGATTTGCCCCAAAGATCTACAGACTAGAACATGGACCACTAAAATTTCATTCCTTAGGTGATGTGAATGCACTTCAGGGATGTGCTCAGACTTAGGGTTCTCAGACTGTATTTTGCCCAGCAAAATAAAGGCTCAAGTCAGGAGGTCTGACCGGGAGTAGATGTGGGGCTAGATCCTGTGAAGGATTTCCTCACTTCAGTTCAAGACACTACAGCTCCTTGTGAGGGTCTTAAGCATGCTTCCCCCTATTTCTAAGAGTTTTAGCTGGCTGTCTTCAGGGCTGATTTACTGAGAAGAGTCATTATGAAGAAGGACCTGGAAGAAGTCTTAGGTAGGGCTCCCAGCCCCTTTGCTTGGGTGCTTTGTTAGGCTGAGGCTCTCACCCCTGGTACCCATCTAAGCTACCTTGCAGCAACATGATAGCCCCATCTACACCTGACCATGTGCCAAATCGATCCAGACCCTGGCCCATAGACTTGACTTTCTTGGCCTGTCTCATCATGATGGGCTTTCCTAGCAATCACTGAGTGGTCCATGACCCTGTTATCATCTGATCCCAGTTCTGACCCTCAACTGTTGGCTCAACTTCTGGGCTCCTTAACACTGATGCCACTGCCCCTGCCTGCCTTGTTGTCACCCTTGGCTCCTGGTTCTTAATACCACGTAGTGTGAGAAAAGGGCTTCCTAGTTATAAAGTAAACTGATGATTCTTTAAAAAGGGAAAAAAAAAAGATTCCTATAACTTCTAGGGCTTAGGTGACTGATCTTGGCATCCCAGTATAGTGGAAACAACTCCTTCTGCCACAGTAGGTCTCAGGACAGGGCCACAGCTCATGCTTGCTTGCGCCTTTTAACACAGTGAATGTGGCAGTGTGTCCTGCCATGTGACACAGCTTCACTGAGAGGCTGGTGGTCAGCAGTTGTCATGAAAGGCAGGTCCTGCTTGACCAACCTGATCTCCCTCTATGATCAGGTGACCTGCCTAGTGGATGAGGTTAAGGCTGTGGATGTTGTTTACCTGGACTTTAGCAAGGCCTTTGACACTGTCTCCCACAGTGTTCTCCTAGAGAAGTTGGCGGCTCAAGGCTTGGACAGGTGCACTCTTTGCTGCATGGCCGAGCCCAGAGAGTTGGGGTGAACGGAGCTAAATCCACTTGGCGTCTGGTCACAAATGGTGTTCCCCAGGGCACAGTTTTGGGGCCAGCTCTGTTTAACATCTTTATCAATGGTCTGGGTGAGAGGGTTGAGTGCACCCTCAGTAAGTTTACAGATGACATCAAGCTGGGCAGGGGTGTTGATCTGCTTGTGGGTAGGAAGGCTCAGCAAAGGGATATGGACAGGTTGGATTGATGGGCCGAGGCCAA